GAGGACAGGGCCAATGTGCTGCGGGCCCTTCTGTTGAAACACAGGTATGGCCCTTTGGGGAAGGTGGATGCCATTGCATCCTGCCCATCTGTTTCCTTCCCTGCCGTCATCCCTCCTTACACTCACTGCTGTCTGTCCTGCCAGCCACCCGAGTGATGAGAAGGACTTCTCCTTCCCCCGTAACATCTCAGCTGGCTCCTTGGGCTCCCTGCTAGGGCATCACCATCCCCAGGGGGCTGAGAGTGACCCACACGTCACTGAGCCTCTCATTGGTGGTGTTCCTGAGACCCGGCTGGAGGTGGATCGAGAGGTGAGGAGTGGGCACAGACCTGCGAGCAAGCCCTGATGGGAACATGTGGGGTCAGGGAGGCTRTCTGGACTGAGTTCCATTCTGTGACCCCCCCCAGCGTGAGCTGCCACCTCCAGCCCCACCGGCTGGCATCACTCGTTCCAAGTCTAAGCATGAGCTAAAGCTGCTGGAGAAGATCCCTGAGAATGCCGAGGCTACCGTGGTCCTCGTGGGTATGTGGGGCAAGTCTGAGGGCTGGGGTGGTAGTCTCAGCAGGGGCTGGGACTGGGTGGAGTCCTGCTGTGTGTTCTTGCCCATGATGGCCCATCCTCCTAGGCTGTGTGGAGTTCCTCTCCCGCCCCACCATGGCCTTCGTGCGGCTGCGGGAGGCTGTAGAACTGGATGCAGTGTTGGAGGTGCCCGTGCCCGTGCGTTTCCTCTTTCTGCTGCTGGGCCCCAGCAGCGCCAACATGGACTACCACGAGATCGGCCGCTCTATCTCCACCCTCATGTCCGACAAGGTCAGCCCCTTGCCTTTCTGGTCCCCGAAGCCACCCCTACTCCCCACTGCCAGTCTTGGTTGCCTTAGCTCCACCTCTTGGCCYCCTCTGGTGCCCTCCCTGACTCCTGTCCTGCTCTGGCAGCAATTCCATGAGGCAGCCTATCTGGCAGATGAACGGGATGACCTGCTGACTGCCATCAATGCCTTCCTGGACTGCAGCGTGGTGCTCCCCCCCTCGGAAGTACAGGGCGAGGAACTCCTGCGTTCTGTCGCTCACTTCCAGCGCCAGATGCTCAAGAAACGAGAAGAGCAGGGCCGGCTGCTGCCCCCAGGATCTGGGCTGGAGCCCAAGTCTGCCCAAGATAAGGGTACGGCCATGCAGGCCCGAGCCAGATGGGGCTGCCTTGAGGAGGGGTTGGGTGGGCAGGAGAGCCACACAGACACCAACAGAGAGGTTGGGGTTGGCAGTGCTTCTGCAGGTGGTGGGTGGACTGTGCACATGGAGGAGGTCCTGGTCAGTGGKCAGGGGGGCCCCACAGCTGCCCTGACATCAGCCTGGGTTGTAGCACTCCTGCAGATGGTGGAGGTGGTAGGTGCAGCTGAAGATGATCCCCTTCGTCGGACGGGCCGGCCCTTCGGGGGCCTGATCCGTGATGTGAAGCGTCGCTATCCCCACTACCTGAGTGACTTCCGAGATGCACTTGACCCCCAGTGTCTGGCTGCCGTCATCTTCATCTATTTTGCTGCTCTGTCTCCTGCCATCACCTTTGGGGGGCTGCTGGGTAAGGACGAGCTCATAGGGACAGGGGTGCACAGCCTGGCCGCTGAGCTGAGCTGGTTCCTGCACCCCCAGGAGAGAAGACGCAGGATCTGATAGGCGTGTCAGAGCTGATCATGTCCACAGCGCTCCAGGGTGTGATCTTCTGTCTGCTGGGGGCTCAGCCATTATTGGTGATTGGCTTCTCGGGCCCCCTGCTGGTCTTTGAGGAAGCCTTCTTCTCGGTGAGGGCTCTTTCTGCCTTGGTCCAGTTCCCCCTTCTCTTCCCATATCTCCCCCATTGCCCCCAGAGCTCGGGGCCTGATACCTTCCCACCTCCCCTGCCTAGTTCTGTAGTAGCAACCAGCTGGAGTACCTGGTGGGCCGCGTGTGGATTGGCTTCTGGCTGGTGCTCTTGGCCCTGCTCATGGTGGCCCTGGAGGGGAGCTTCCTGGTCCGCTTTGTCTCCCGCTTCACCCAGGAGATCTTCGCCTTCCTTATCTCCCTCATTTTCATCTACGAGACCTTCTACAAGCTGGTCAAGGTAGGCAAGCCCTGCTCAAAACAGGGCTGGGAGAAGAGCAGGGCTTCAGGGCAGGAGGGAGTCCAGGAGCATCCTGTCTCATGTCTTCTTCTAGACTGGAGGCCAGGCTGGTCCCAGGAGTTCCCTGCACTTGCAGTCCATGGAGCCCACAGAGCTGAGGCTTGTTCTCCCCGCTGCTCCCAGCTGGTCCTCTGGGTTATTTTTTTAATCCGAGATGAGCTCCTGGCAGGCCTTTYCCCCTCCTGTGCTATCCTTCCAATTTTCAGCTGAGCCTAAGAATTTTCTCCCCATTTTAGCTAATGGGACCCATTGTGACCCTCCTCTTTCCCCAGATCTTCCAGGAGCATCCCCTCCATGGCTGTTCAGTCTCCAATAGCTCAGAGGCAGACAGCGACAATATAACATGGGCCAGAGCAACAACCACGCTGGGACCAGGCAATGGGAGCTTGGCTGGGCAGTCTGGGCAAGGGAGACCCCGGGGCCAGCCCAACACAGCCCTGCTGTCACTGGTGCTCATGGCTGGCACCTTCTTCATCGCCTTCTTCCTACGCAAATTCAAGAATAGCCGGTTCTTCCCCGGCCGGGTACGTGGACTTGCAGGCTGTGGAGATCTGGGGATGGGATGCGGTGTTTCTAGGAAGTGAGGGTCTGAGTGGGACAACAGGTCTCTGAGCATGGTTCTTGTCCTCAGATACGGCGGGTGATTGGGGACTTTGGGGTGCCCATCGCAATCCTCATCATGGTGCTTGTGGATTACAGTATTGAGGACACCTACACCCAGGTAAGGCATTGTACGTGTGACAGCAGGGTGCCGTTTCCACCACCCTGGGTTCTGGTGTTGCACTCCAGGCCTCAGCCAGAGCCTGTCCTTAAGCTGGGGAAATACCAAGCCTTTCCCCCAGTGTGCCCTCCATGTCCACCCTGCCCATGACTACATACTGTCTCTGCCCTGCAGAAGCTGAGTGTGCCCAGTGGATTCTCAGTGACAGCTCCAGAAAAGCGGGGCTGGGTCATCAACCCCCTGGGGGAGAAGAGTCCCTTCCCTGTGTGGATGATGATTGCCAGCCTGCTGCCTGCTGTCCTAGTCTTCATCCTCATCTTCATGGAGACGCAGATCACCACGTGTGTGGTCCTATTTGAGAGTCCTGGGGCTGTCAGAAGGCCAGAGTCCTCAGCCAGACTTGGGGACACACATGGGAACTGCTACTCTGTTGGGCAAGAGAGTCCAAAGACTTTGGGGGACATTGAATGCCCTGATGGCTGAAGTTTTATTTTATAGGCACCAGAAAACATCACTGAGGGGCTGGGAATGTAGCTCAGTGTAGAGTGCTTGTCTAGCACGTGCGAGGYCCTAGATTCCATCCCCACAACAGCAAAAACTCCAAAACAAAACCTGAGGTTTTGGGGGAGGACAGAGTACAGGCTAAGGCTTGCTGGGAGCTCTCCTACAGAATAAGGGCTGAGGGCACACGCTGAACTCTATGATGGAATTCTAGTCCTGATGGAATGGACAGGGACTACCAGGTTCCATAAACACAGGGACTGGCTGGGGTGTTCTGGCCACACCAGGTATAGCAGGCCTTAGCAGTGCCTCCCCCCTCCCCAGGCTGATCATCTCTAAGAAGGAGCGAATGCTGCAGAAGGGCTCTGGCTTCCACCTGGACCTGCTGCTCATCGTAGCCATGGGTGGCATCTGTGCCCTCTTTGGCCTGCCCTGGTTGGCTGCTGCCACTGTCCGCTCTGTCACTCATGCCAACGCACTCACTGTCATGAGCAAGGCTGTAGCGCCRGGGGACAAGCCCAAGATTCAGGAGGTCAAAGAACAGCGGGTTACAGGCCTGCTGGTGGCCCTGCTTGTGGGTATGCTTCCCCTTATCCACAACCTTCCTTGTGGTACCCAAGGCCCCTGGGGGAAGGAACCTGGGGCTAGCTGTTTCTCCTCCTCCCTAGGCCTTTCCATGGTTATYGGGGATCTGCTCCGGCAGATCCCCCTGGCTGTGCTCTTTGGAATTTTCCTGTACATGGGAGTCACTTCCCTTAATGGGATCCAGTTCTATGAACGGTTGCACCTGCTGCTCATGCCACCCAAACACCATCCAGACGTCACCTACGTCAAAAAGGTGAGTCCTCGCCTAGAAGGACCCCAGACCTCTGCCCCATTCTGGTTTACTTGGGTCAGCTGYTTCTCCCCACTTTAGGAAGCCCCCATTAACCATCGGTACAGAGCAGTCTCTGGAAGTATCTGAGCTACTTCCATCACTAGAGGATCCCAAGGATCATTCTGGTTGTCCTCTGGATATGGTTGCTTTGGAGAGAAGCCTGGGCTCACTTTGTCTCTTCCCAACCAGGTTCGGACCCTGCGAATGCACCTGTTCACAGCTCTGCAGCTGCTCTGCCTGGCCCTGCTCTGGGCTGTTATGTCCACATCCGCCTCCCTGGCCTTCCCCTTCATCCTCATCCTCACAGTACCACTGCGCATGGTGGTGCTCACCCGTATCTTCACCGAGCGAGAGATGAAATATGTAAGAATCCCTGCTCCCCCACCCTCCCACCCCTGCCTCCTGTGGTTCTGGAAAGGCCCACCCTTCTCTTCCTCCCACAGCTGGACGCTAATGAGGCGGAGCCTGTGTTTGATGAGCGCGAGGGTGTGGACGAATACAATGAGATGCCCATGCCTGTGTAGCTGCTGCCCAGGGACTGAATGATGGACAGAGGGAATGGGCTGGTGGGATGGGTTCCCCTCCCCCTCCCAGTTTTTATTTAAGTGAATAATTTAAAGTCCCCTTCTCCCCACCCCTGCAGTAAAGTGCTTCGGCCCCCACCTACCCCTGGTCTTGTCTGTCTGTCTAGTGGAAGTGGCAGGGAATGGGGTACTCAGCCCTGCTCTGTCACAGAAATGARATTCACAACAGGGAAGGAAAGGGACTTTAATGAAAAATCAAAACATAGGGAGCCAAAGTGCAAATTGTCCACCCCCCATAGGGGGGCCATCCTGAGCCCCATGTGCATCCCCTCACCCTCCTTCAGGCCCCCAGCGGAGGCCTAAGGCCTGGAGCTTCTGCCTAAGGTAGCTCTTGAGCTGGGGCAGGCCTCTCTGTGACTCCAGTTCCTCAAAGGGCAGCTGTGGGGAGAGGACACTGGGTTACCTGCATGGCAGGGATGAGGATGAGGATCGGGTAGGGTGGGGCCTCTCACCGGCAGGAGCTGGTAGCCCATTAGGCCCAGGTGCCGCTCCCTCAGGGCACGGGAGCCCAGCAGCACCCTACCATCCCGGCAGAAATGCCAGCGTTCACGCAGCATCAGCACCACCCTGGAAAGGAGTAGACATGTTATGGGTGCTCTTGGCCAGGGGGTCAAGATTCCCACACCCTGCTTTCTTACCTTTGGGCAGGGTCACGGGTTGTAGGATTAGAGGCAGCCTGTCCCTGTGGACAGGACCTTGGTGGGTAAGGTAGAAAGGGGTCTTGGGTCCTCACAGGAAGCACAGCACCAGAGCTGCTGACACACAGCAGGAAGTCTGCAGGGAAGAGAGCCAGGGCCTTAGCCTAGCTCCACTTCTGGAGCTGCCCCCCCACCTGGAGCTCACCTGTGCAATAGCCGGGAGGCACAGTCAGGTCCTGGCGGTATTTCTCCTCCCCCAGCAGCTGGCGCAGCCCCTCAGCTACTATGTCCTTGTGACTGAGGGGAAATGATACTGGTAGAAGACAGGCCCCAAGGTCTCATCCCAGTCTGTCCATAGCACCAACACCCAGGAAAAATCCCTTGACTGGTCAGGGCCCATTTTTTTYCCCTCTAGGACCACTAAGCACACTGGTGCAGGTACTGCTGTCTATGGTCTCTAGCTGTTCTACAGTGCTTCTCTGGCTCTCCCTCCCCTTACCCCAGACTGCCTGCCCACCTGTACTTGCAGCGGGCACGGTCGGTGATGAGTGGCTGCGGAAAGATGGGCACTTGCTGCCTTCGGGGAAGGCGGGGGCCCCGGTATCCTGGGAGCTCCAGCTCCACAGCCGCGTCAAGCAGGGAGAGGTAGCGTCGAACAATCAGAGCGTGAGGGGTGCCTGTGGGGAGGTGGGGACTGGAGTACCCYGTGTAGGCCAATGATCCCTGGGTGCTCCCTGACCTCTGGGGTCTCAGGCCCCTCCAGCCATCCTCTCTGCATACCACTGATGTGGTTGATAAAACCCGGGGAGAAGACAAAGTGCAGGGCTCTGAAGGGCAGGCACCGCAACTGGCACAGTGACATCAAAATGTTGACTGTGGCCAGGGGTGCCACCCCTGCCTCCCGAGCCAGGATCCTCTCAAGGCAGGGCATAAACTGCTGCTCCAGGGGTAGGTAGTTCAGCCGCCCAAAGGGCAAGACCAGCTTCTGTACCACCTGTGGAGAAGAGCAGCATGTAAACTGGCAGGAAGTGCTGCTCCAAGTCTCTCAAGCTGAGTGTTAGGCAGGAATGGCCTAGCCTGTAACGTCACTGTCAGGCATAACACTCCTCTACCCCAGCATATACACAAGTTCAACAGTATAAGCAGTGTCTTTGAGCCAAATGTGACCAGACAARTAGAAGGTACATTCTGTGGGGTCTGGCCTGCAGACTTGGAAAAGCAGGACAGGCAGAACTAGGATGAGGCTGAGTGCTTTGGTACAACTGCTGAGCTCTTGGCATCCATGTTGGTTATGGGGGTTGGAAAAGCCAGCACAGAGATATACTCCCCAGGGCATGGAGCAGAGCAACCTAGCTAGAGTGTTTCTGCCAGAGGAAGAGGCTAGTCACGCTGGACAGGAGGCTAGGCTTGACCTGGTCACTGAGGATGACTCACAGAGGAGCATGGGAGGGTGGGAGGCAAGCCCACCTTGCTGCTGAGCTGRGCTTCCTGGACCACCAGGAAGTGGGCAATGGCTTCCAGAAGCTGGGGCTCCCGCAACCGATGCCGAGCGAGATGCTGGGCCAGAAGGACCATCACATGAGGAGTCAGTTCTTCTGGCCTTGCCTCTGTGAAGAACAGCCCTCACTTCATGCTGGGCCCTGACCGCTGGCAGGCTAGACTGCCAGCCCAGACAACTTAATTCCCATGTCCTCCYCAGCCCCTGCCCTCCATTTGCCTTCCACCCTCCAGCACCTGCCAGGCTGCTGATCAGATTCTGCCTCGGATACCGCAGGAAACGGGGGCAGCTCAGAGCAGCTTCTAGCCTTTGTCCACCACGGAGGACAGGCTGCAGAGGGGGAGGTGGCTTTGGAGGGAGGCGAAACCTTCGCTCCTGCTCCAGGGCACAYACCAGAGGTCCATCTGATGGAAAGCCTGAGAGGAGGCAAAGGAGGTCCTGATGAGAGAGTTGTGCTGTTTTTTTTTTAATTATGGGGTGAGTCCTGACCTCTCTCCCCTCCATTTCCTGAGCAGGAATATACACTCGAGTTTATGTGAAAACACTGGAGAAATGTGAAGTTTCAGGTGGATATGTATCAGAGCAGTCTGTCAGGGAAAGCTTTATACAAAGGTGGCAAAAGGCCCTCAACTCCTACCAAGAACTGCAGTGGCTTCTGAGAGCACTGTAGAAGGAAGCTGGGGTGGCACCCTGTGAATCTGGAATGAATGCTGTTCAACTTGTGACATCTGTCGTGGATACAGGAGGGGCAGTAACAAGTGTATCTGGGTATGTGCTACTCCTGGGCAAAAGCAGTGACCTGTGTACTGTTCTCTCCCTTTATCCTTCCCTAAGCCCCCACACCCCCAGACACCCTCCTCACCAAGTAAGACTGCAAGGTGCAGACACACGTGGATGGTATGAATGTCAAAGGAGGGGCAGTTTCGGATGATGAGCTGACTCAAGTCCTGCAGTGTGGCCTGCTCCACAGGAGGGGGCCGAGGATGAGACCCCAAGAGCTGGCCCAGGCGACGAAGTGCCACAGGATAGTGGTGGGCGCGCACCTTGGTGGGGTTCTGGCCCAGCCAGCGCAGTAGCTCCCCAGGACTCTTCGCCTGTTCCAGAAGCCGCTGCAGTCCTTGCACATGGCCTGCACGGGGCCCTCCTCCAAGAGGCCGGTCCCCCCACTTGCTGGGCCCCAAACAGCAGGGCTGTACTGGCGGGATCAGCAGCAGGCCAGACAGCCGAGCAGGGGAGGCCTGAGCAGAGAGCAGGACTCGAAGCATGGAGCTGGGTGATGGAGACCCTGAGGGTGGCCCAGAAAAGGGGGTGAGGTTTCCTCCAAAGGGGCAAAGGACTCAGTCTACTCCTTACCTCACTCCCCATCCAGAGGGGCCTGGGGTCTGAGCAACCCTCTGTGACTGCTCTGGTCCTGTTCTCCACCCTGCCCTCTTTTCCTTTTCATTCCTTGAAACAGCAATCCTAATCCTTCAGTGTGCTCAGCGCAGCGCAATTCACAAAGCAATTCCACATGCACTATCTCCTCTGATGCACTATCTCCTCTGATGCTCCGTACAGGCCGATGAGGAGTCGCAGGGCTGGCATTACCTCATTTCACAGGTGGAGAAACCAAGGGCCAGAGCGACGAAGAGGTTAAGTTAAGCCCGAGGTCATTCACGGGTTAGTGGTCGCGCCCAGCCTGGAGCCAGGACGGCCCCGCGATGCACCCTCCCGACCACCTCCCCCTCCCGCAGGAGGCGGCGGCGGCACGGAGGGCGGAACGCGGGCTCCGCAGCAGGACGGTGCTGGGTCCCATGCTGGGCGCTCCCACTTACCAGCTGCGTGACCTTGGGCAAGTGGCTTCGCCTCTGCCTAAGTCTCCTCACCCATGAAAAGAGAACACAGCGCCCCAAGTCGAAGGGTGCGCGCGGAGAAGAGAGCGCAGCTTTGAGAAGGCGAGGAGTCCGCGATGCTGGGGGCCCACACACCCGCCCTGGCCCGGGGACGTCAGGAGACCGTGGCCACCGCCGCTAACGCCAGCTCCCGCCGCCCTCCCGCGGCCCGCCCCGCAGGCGCCACCCTACATGACTCCCCAGGCCCCGCGCAGGTCGCTCCCTCAGTCGGTCTCGGGGCCCGGGAGCCGGGCTCCCCCCGCGGCCTCCTCATCGGCGGCCCACCGAGTCCGCCATCTTCCCAGCAGCCCCCGAATCGCAGCCTGCACGCCAATCCCGGCGCAGCGCTCGGCCCGCAGAGACGTGGCTCCCGGCAGGCGCTGCGAGCCGGGGCGCCTTGAGCCCGCCCCCCGCTTCCGGGAAGTGCGCGCGTGGCGCGCGAGGCGGGGCCACAGCTAGAGGGGCGGAGCTGCAGAACCAAAAGCTRAAGCTGGCGGATCTGCGCAGAGTAAGGGGTCAGTTGCCGGCCTGAGCAGGTTGCAGGGGCCTGAGGGCCTAGTACTCGTCCTTTCCCCTTTTCTCCCGGAGCAAGGCCTTCCCGCCCTCCCCACCTCAGCTCCGCACAGACACACAACAGAGTGAAAACTTCACAGTTATTTTAATCTGCACAAGTTCCAGAGAATGCCTCTGCCCCTCCCAGCTCCCTGTCACCAGCCTCCCACAGTCCGAAGGTGCCCAAATCAGCCAAGGAGGTCTTGGGACTAAGGATGGCTGAGTCCAAAGGCAGAGCACTAAGACGGGCCCAGGGGAGTGGGCCGTCTTTGTTCAGGGCCAAGGCAACGACAGCAAGTGCCTGACCCTGAAGAGCCAACTGTCAGTGAAGGCTGAGGGCCAGCAGCCCCAGAAGGTGGTCCAGAGCCATGGAGATCACAGGGGCGGGACTCTGCCAGTTCCCGGAGTCCCCTGCGACGCAGGGCTGGGCTCCAGGGTAATGGGAAGAGGCAGGCTGGAGAAGCTGGCCTGGGAAGACAGCAGCTCCCACCACGACGTGGGGAGTGAGGTCCAGAGGGGTTGGCTACACCACCAAGAGCCCGTGGAGGCACTATGGGCGGTACATGGCAAAGGCCAGGAGACTGAGGAGCAGGGTGAAGCCGGCTAGGCCCAGGGTGGCGGTCAGGGGAAAGAAGGGCCGGTACTGGATCTGGCAGTACCAGAGCAGGAGCAGCAGCAGCAGCAGCAGGGGCAGCAGCAGGCTGCCGATTTCCAGCCCGGAGGGGCCTGGCTCTGACCCCGGTGGGCAGGGGGGATGTGGGGAACCGACCCTCGTTGACACGTGGCAGTGGAGTACGCAGTTGGGAGGGAGGTGAAGGCTGCCCAGCGTCTGACTGTCGTCTCCTAGAAGCTGGCCTTGGTAGATGAGTCGCACCTGGTGTTCCCGGCCGGGAAACTGGGTCCTGAGGAGAGAGGGACCTGGGTAAGAGAGCAGGCCTCAGGCAATCCTAGTCCCTTGCCCAGAGCAAGGCTCCCATTCTTCCCTTTTGCCCTCCACACACCACCCAGGCAGTGGCCTCTGGGGGGCAGTCTGTTGCAGGGGAACAAGAACAGTGTATACTTTAGGCAGCTCCATTCCCTCAAGCTGAAAATAAGGGAGGAGTCTCAGATATTTCTGGTGGCCCAGTCTATCTCACCCCATTCTTTAGCATTTGATTCCTACCCTCTTTCCCGCTTACCTTTTCAAGGAGCCAATGGTGTCATGAGGCCAGGCTCTGGCCACCTGCTCCGAATCATTGAGGAATTTGAGCCGTAGCACGAGGGGCTCCTGTGGGGAGTCTGGGGGTGKTGTTGTTGCAGTGACTCCAGGCTCTGGCTGTGCAGCTTGACCTCTGTGTCTCAAGCTGGGGGACTCGGCCCCTGGAGCCTCTCCTCTGATGCTGTCAGTGGCTGCCATGACTTCGCTGGGTTGGGCTGGCGTTGAAGTCCCCGGTGGTTGGGGCAGGGTATCGGAGCCCTCCGTGGTATGTGTTGAGACCCAGGCAAGGGCCAGCACCAGAAGGCAGGCAAGCACCGCAAAAAGGATGGTCACCTCATCACCCACCCCTTCAATCAAGGCCATGGCACCTGCCTGCCGTGCTACCGAGCTGGAGAGGACACAAAGAACAGGTGAGGGGCTGGCTCTCTGGCCAGGAGCCCTCCTAACTTCAACAGGCTTCTGACCCCACCCTGCCACAATTCTCCCACAGTCCTGATTCTTCTGTTCCCTTAACCATCCCTGGTACAGACTGCTCTATATCCCAGTCATCCCAAATTTGCCATGTTTTGCCCCTTCCCATCACCAAATCGAAAGTCCTAACTTTGTAACCTGAGTTCTAGGTCTTCTAGCTCAATTCACAGAAACCCTATCTCCAGCAAGGTGTTTGACCTTCTAAACAGCCGGTTCCSTAAACTTAACCCCCATCAAACTTCACCCTAAAGCTTACCTGTTCTTTTGATCACTTCATCTCAAAGTTTTGTTTACTCCTTCGCCTATTTCACCCCAAGTTCATATAATGCTCTGTAACTAAGTTTCTCCAAGAGGCTGAAAAAGGGTCTTCAAGCCCACCTCACCCCACCCCTGCATTTCTAGCCTTACCATTTACCCAAACCCCACCCGCGGCACGGGACTCCTTCCCAAAGCTTCCCCCACACTAAACGTGAATATCCGCCCTTGGGCAATCTGGAGTCTCCGCGCGCTACCACCCACCCAGCAGGTCCCCTCTTGGTCCACCCAAACCCTCCCCGCGGCAACTCGATTCCGCGCCTCCACGGGAAGCCTCTCCAAACCCAGCGACCGCCAGACCCAGATCCAGTTCGGGAACCCAAGACTGCGCCCTCCCCACCCCCACTGCCCCATCACCCCTCCCATCTTTCTGCCCCCCGAGCCACAGGAGGGCACAGCCGATCCCGGGGCGGGGCGAGGGCGGCCCAGCCCAGACCTGGGGCGGCGGGGTGGGCGCGGCCAAAGCGCGGGGACTCACCGCCCGGCTCCGCTAGCTCCATCTCGGCCCCTCGGGCACTTCCGGGCGGGAGGCGCTGAGGTCGCAGACACCTGAGGCACCGCTCCTAACCAGCCGCCGCGGCCCCGAGCATTGTGGGATTTGTAGTCCGCGCTGGCATTGCCCGCCTTCCGCCCTGCGGACCCACGTGCAGGGCTCGGTCCGCTGCTCAGGCTGTCCGCCTGTCCGCCGCAGTCGGGGCTGGCGGGAGCGACTCGGGTAATTGTGCTATTCAGCAGAGATTTTGACCTCGGCAGGATTCGTCCCCTTCGCCGCCAGCAGCCAGGGCATCTGTCACTCCAGACACCAACGTCAGCTGAGCACGTCAGAGCACCCTTGTTAGTGATGCAGTGATGAGAGCGCTTGAGAGCTCAGGTGGCCACTACCCCGGCTTTCCCTRTGTCAGAGTGGATGCCAGGAAGCAACTTGGCCTTCCAAGTTGACGCTTCAGCCCAGAGCTCAGTAGGCGTGAGCTGTCCCATCTGGCCAGCTGAGGATACCTATCTTCTTCAGGACTGGCCCCTCCTCTATCTTACTCTCACAGAACTGAAAGAAGAGTGGACTTTGAGCACAAGACCTGATCCCTTAATCTGTGCTCATCAGCAACTCATTCTCTGGTGGATTGTTAAATCTCATTAAACATGTTTCTTCGTTTCTAAAATATACCTCATAAGTCCATTGAAAAGCGAGAAATTCKGTATTTTATTAAACAAATGTGAAAACTATGTAAGATTTGTACACAGTAAATATTTGCAGTAGGATTTTCCCTCTTTCCTCTGGGCTCTYTGTAGCCACAGGAATTACTCATCCTGGATTTTATACATCAGTCTTTGTGGGGATGATCAGGTGCTGAGGATGTAACCCAGGGCCTGGTACGTGCTAAGCAAGTGCTCTTCCACTGAGCTATACCCCCAGCCCTACAGAATAGTCTTGATTCAAAATAATCTACCCTAGTCTTCCCAATACCTCATACCTACTTGTGGGAGCAAGTGCCCAAAATGTTGCTTTGGTTTAGATTTATGAAGTACAGAACTAATGTCAGTGGCATATGCTTATAATCCCAACGACTCTGGAGACTGAGGCAGAAGGACCACAAGTTGAAGGCCAGACTCAGGAACTTAGCGGGGTCCTGAACAACTAGTGAGACTTATCTCAAAATAAATAAATAAATAAATAAATAATAGGATGGGGATGTAGCTTAATGGTAAAGCCCTGGCTGGATTCAATCTCTGGTTTAAAAAAAAAAAATTACAGAACTAACTTATCTCTACCCTATTCCTTCATCTATGCTACAAATATTCATTAAATATATACATACTATTTACCAGGCATTGTTTAAGATGCTAGGAACAAAATGCCCTCATGTGGCTGTTATACTAATGGAAGAGACAGACTGTGGACAGCCCACCATTTTTAAGACAGGTATGTGCTGGTGGTTAGGGCAACATATTGGAGGAGCCCTTTCCTCTTAGCATCTCTCTGAGAAAGTATATTTGGTAAAGCTCCTTGTCAATTCTAATTAAGCATCTAAAAGAGATGTTAGTGTTGCTTTTAGAAATGAAAAGCAACAGAACTAGGTTTTTTGTTGAACCAATCTATTTTGCAGATGAAGTTCAGAGAGGGTACAAGACATCCTTAAGGTCATATAGACAAACTTACATCTCTCAGGAGCTTGGGAGGTCCCTAGTTTGCACCTTTGGAAGTAAAATTTAGGAATGGTGACTGTGTTGGTTGGTAACTGGAGCAGAGTTGTATAAGTAGCTGAATGGCAGACATCTTTATGCTAGGAAAAGATCCTGCTTGACCTGGGAAATATGCGCCAGTGTTACTCAAAAGATCCCTGGGTGTAGTTCTGGCAGATTTATTGGCTGGGTTTTAGGGAGTGGGTATGTGTTGGGTATGGGGGCTAGCAGAACTGCAGATAGCTTCAGCAATGAGAATGCAGAGAAACTGGGACATTTGGGACACTGAAGGGAGCTCTCTAGCCTCAGGTGAGAAATGGCAGGATGGAYACGGAGGTGAGAACAAGGAAAATTTTAAGAGCCATGGGGGCTCTAATGAATCTCTTGATAGGGGGGAGAGAGCACAATTGATTCCTCTCTCTTTTCCTCTGTGCACCTTGGGCAGCATTCAGCGAACCCTCCCCAGCCTGGCACGGAGGATCTTTTAGAAGAAGCCGGTCATRAGAAGGGCGAAGATATTGTTCATCACTGTCATTTCCACCGACTCTGAGATGAAGCTCTCAGGGAGAAGTGGAAAGAGCGGCCGGGAACCAGCCTCTGAGYTGTAGCCAGCAGAGGAGACCAGGGCGGGGCGCCAGGGAGAGAAAACCCCAGGGCGGAGTAGTCTCTAGGGCTGACCTCAGGGCCCGGGTRCAGGAGAGTCTGTGCTGCACTGAAGTCAGGACCATATAAACGAGGCGCACTTGAGCCTCGGAGGGCTTCGCTGCGAATCAGTCGCGTTTATCAGCTCCCTCAGGCGCAGGGCACTACTAGGGCATTGCCCAGAGATACGAGACCCTCCCAGACCAGCGCAAGGAGGCGAAAGCGACAGCCGGCCCGAAAGGGGCCCGGATAGCAGTGTTGCGGCTCCGGTGGCCCGAGAGCGAGCTGTGGGGGGGGCTAGCGAGCGGGCGGAAGGGCCGAGGCCGGGTGGGCGGGGCCGGGGCCGGAGCGCGCAGCTCAGGGGTGGAGGCTGCAACGCCAGCGAGCGAGCCCGCGAGGGGCGGGGGCGCAGAGGGGCGGGGGCGGGGGTAAACGGGGAGGGGGGCTCCGGCTGCGTGTGCCGGAGCCGGCGGGGGCGGCGGTGCGTGCGCATGACGCGGGGGGAGGGCCCGGCCGCGCGCTCCCGGTCCCGTTGTTGTTGCCGCTGGAGGCTGCTCCGAGGCAGCGGGATCGCGGCGCTGAGAAGCTCCCGGCGGCGGCCACAGCGTGTGCGGAGGTGCCTCCTGGCCTCGGCCCCCGGTCCCCGGCCCCATGCACTAGTCCTGCGCCGCTCGCTCCGTAGTCCCGGCCTGGCCAGCCCCGCGCGCCCGCTAGCCGCCGCCGCCGCGCCGCCCCGGGCCCCGGTCGGGCCCGCCTCGGGCCCCGCGGCTCCGGAGCCATGAACTTCCAGGCGGGCGGGGGGCAGAGCCCTCAGCAGCAGCAGAGCTTGGCGGCTCCGGGGGCCGGCGGCGGCGGCGGCGGCGCGGGGGGCGGCGGGCAGTTCGGCGGCGCGGGGCCCGGGGCCGGGGGCGGCGGCCCCTCGCAGCAGCTGGCCGGTGGGCCCCCCCAGCAGTTCGCGCTCTCCAACTCGGCGGCCATCCGGGCCGAGATCCAGCGCTTCGAGTCCGTGCATCCTAACATCTACGCCATCTATGATCTGATCGAGCGCATCGAGGATTTGGCGCTGCAGAACCAGATCCGGGAGCACGTCATCTCCATCGAGGGTGAGCAGAGCCGGGGGCTGCGGGAGCCTGAGTGTGCTGGCCCCTCCATCCCCGGCCCGGGGTTCCACGGGCCCAGACCCACCCAGCTTTCACCCTCAGGGGTCCTTACGCGCCCGAGGTCTGGGCCACGCGGTTTGCTGATCTGCGCTGTAGAGCCCAGGTTCAGGCTTTGGCGTATCTGGTCCAGGGACACTTTGGGATTTGGGGATCGGTATCGAGCCAGGGGACACGTTTTCCTTTCATTGTGCTCCAGAGTGGTGTCGCCCCGGGGACGTGTGCGCTCGGAGTTGCGGGGTGGGGAATGGGGGCTGGGCCCAGATCTGGTCAGGCATGGCCAGGAGGGTGGACGCGACTGATAGCCTCCGCGGGCTGAAAGGTGGGGCCGAGACTCTGGAGGCTTCTTAGCTGCTTCCTGGGCCCTTCCCAGCGATGGGGCTGGGGTTCGGAGCCTCTCCTTAGTGGATGGCAGCCTTCCCGGGCCCAGCGCCCACTGGCCTAGGAGGGTGGCGCTCGCCGAGGCTCCCTCTCCCGACTCACACCTCCAATGCCTCCGCGGCCTGGCGGGCGCGGGCCAGGCCTGGCGCGGGGCTGGAGCGCCGCGATCGCGTGGGAGGCGTCGGCTGGTCCGTTGGCTGCTTGGTCGGGTCCCGACCGCGCTGGGCAACCGCGCCTGCTCACTCTGAAGGCTTGCGCGAGGCTGGCGGGCGCCGACTGACCTCCAGGGACGCTGTGCCTGGCGTCAGGGACCGGAAACCCCAGGCTACTGCGCTTCCCAGTTTTCTTTTCTGTGGGCTCTTGAGTCCTGGACTTGTGGCTGCTGAGGGGCACAGTAAGCCGGGGCACGCTGCTGGCAGATGCTCGACTGCCTCTGAAGTAGTGGGAGCCTGCTGTACCTACAGGCACCCCAGTGGCATGGTGACCTTCCAGCAAGCTTGGGCAGATGGCCCTCACCCTTGGCCATCTGCTTCCTTCTTTCACTCTGTTTGAAGGGAGACGCCCACCAGCAGGTGGTGGGTCTGGCCTTAGTGGTAATGCAGGGAGAGTTAAGGCCAGTTGCTGATGACGTGGAGTGGACAGGGGCCTGTCCACTACTTGGTCCTTACAGTTAGGGTTACATTCCTATCTTCATCCCCTTGTGTGAGGCTCTTGGGGCTCCTGCACCTGAACACCCCCTTTCTGTTTTTAGCCTCCTTGTAGCTGGGGAAGGAATATTGGGTTCCTTGGGAGTAGAAGGCCCCATTTAGAACTCGGGGCCTGCCCTCTTATTGTAACATTCCAATCTGACTTCCTTCTGTCCTTTTCCCAACCTGCTCTCATCTCCTCCCTCTCAAGGCTAAGTTCACTCTGAACTAATTAGGTGACTGAGAAAACTCATTAACATGGATCTGAGTAAATGGCCTGAATCATCATTGTGGCTGGGGACCAGGGGATGGCATTTGTGTGAGCCCAGGGCCCCAAACAGAGAAGATGTACTTTTTTCCCCCCTAGATCTGAAGGTGGTGGGGTAGGGAAAAACCTTCCCTGAGCTTCAGTGTCACCTGGAGGAAATATGAAGTTCTTGATTAACTCCAAGGTGAACTCCCCAGCCCTTTAGAGAGGTGAAGATATTTGGTGGACAGTCACAGAATGAGGGAGACTCTTCTGTGCTG